CTCATTGAAGGTTGGGAACTGTGTAGGATCTGTAATAAGACAATCACTCAAGTTCAACTTGTGAAATTGTATGAAAGCTTGAATGTCCTTTGCCAGTGATGGATGATCAAACTTTATACCTTGCTTCACACTTAATCTTCGCAATAATGACCGGATTCTTTTACTTTTTGCTTTATCGAGACCCTTATAAAGAAGTCGAATTCCAAGCCTCACAGTGACGCTCATTTTTTCTTCCATAACAAGACCGGTGGACCTATCTTGTACTAGGATGTTGGCAGAGTTGCTTCCAAGCTTGTACTTGCCGTAAGTGAGCTTTATCAAGACCTTCGAAAACCACCTTTTGCTCGCGATTTGCGGCGTAACAAAAGATGAGACAAGAAGTTTGTTGACAATACTCCAGTCTTTAGAGGCGCATATGGCAACATGCGTGATGATATCGAGGTCATCTTTCCTGCTCAATCTTTTATGAGTGCAAATTGGGCACTTTTCAATTTCGAAAATCTTTGCTCCTGGGTCTGTTTGTTCTCGAAGTACGTAACCTTCCAAGCAGTCCACAATCTCGTCATGTGTGAGCTTGTCACCTCCCCAAGAAGACCTTCCTAGATTCTCAAAGAATTGAGTCACTATCTGATCGCTATCGGAGCATCCCAAAGTGTCTAGAAACGAAATCAATTCAATGTAGTCCAACAGACCGGACTTTTCCTCGACATTGTATTGCTCCAAAAGCACTCGCCAGAAATCTCGTCTCAAGTTCTCGTAAGTAAGATATCTTGCGCGGATTTTCAAGGTCGAGCTATGCTTTTCGGCCATCTTTTTGTCTTTGAGCTGAAGCAGGAGATTCAAAGTTTTGAACAAAGACGTGTCAACATACAGCACTGTTGTCCTTTTTCTCAAAAATTTCTTCTTTCTCGTCTTAACAAGATCCCCGTCTTCCGCGAGTTCGATGGCAGGGTTGGTGGAAGACAAGTCAGAGGTTGAAGTTGCGGGAGACCTCGCTTTGTTCTCATCTTCTTTATAAAAGGACTTTACACCATCTGACGTGGATGAACCATTATCATCCGCCGTAAGTGATTCATCTAAATTTGGCTCTTTTGCAATTTCGATGAGTTCACGAACGGGGAGGGACACGTCTGCGACTTGATCGTGAAATGAGAAGTGATCCTTATCCAAAACAGAAAATTGAATGTTATAATTGAGCTCATTTTCTAGAACCTCAAACGCAAGTCTCTCGTTGTAAATGGGGTTTAATTTGTGTCGCTTCCAACTGGTGCGAAAAGTCTTCTTGCCAAAGGTGACAACCACAAACGGATCCATGTCGAAGGTGGCTCTCGTAAAACTCTTGATGGGTGGGAGATTGGAGCAAGACGCTATTTCCAAGAATAAAACACCCTGGACATTTCTGTTGCGTAACTCATATTTGCTTTGTGGCCTTCTTTTCTTTCGCCTCAATCTCCTCAGTGTATGCTCTTTGGAGTCAGGAGCCATAAAATCGCTGTTGTATAGTGGCCCATCACTAGCATATTCCGAAGCATCAGACAGAATATCGGACTCGGTAGAGTATTCCATGGCCTGAGATTCTTTTATAGGCAAATACTGAGGCGTAAGATGCTCAGTATCCGTTTCAATTAGCGGTTCTTCTGAAAGCGAAGCACCAGTTCTAGGCACAAGGCTGCTCGACGAGTTACGTGAGGGCTGCCTTCTAGATTCAGCGATTGACTCAATATCCGAAATGTCTGATGCACCACTGAACTGATAGCTTACTGGAAGATCCGAGTAGAAGCCTTGGTCGTTGACATTGTCCGCCACGTCGGCATCAGGGCAAATAAGCGCATCAGTCCACGCTTGAAATGACGCGCAAATGTCTTGATCTGACAACAGAAGATTCTGTATGCTGAGATCTGGATCTGTTGGGGCTTCAACGTTTAATTTTGGAGGCAGGCTAGGATTTGCATTCTTGGGCGAGAACAGCTCCCGAGACAGCTTCGCATCGGTCGCCTTCAAAGCGGTCTTTTGTTTGCCGGTAGAGAGCTTGAACAGCAAAAGGATAGAACCTGTGATGAACCCACTTCTGGCGAGCGACAGGTACAACTTGTGCCATGTTGGTTCTGTTTCAGCCTGCGCTCCCTCTTGAAAAATCTCCCGCACACGAATTCTCACCTCACCCAAGTATGTTTTGGTCCCTCCCGAACGATTCCACACGGCCAACACAAGAAGATCAGAGTAATCGCCAATCCTCAAAGGGATTTGGAATGTCTCGTCCCAGCTGGGATGGCTTGTGTCCAACTTTCGTTTACAGCGCTTCTTGAAGGAATTGAGCTGCACGACAAGACTTGCATTGACCTTCTTCTGGCGATCTCTAGATCCCGGGAGAAATAAATCTGCTGCTCTATACGCATTGACGTGAAGATATAGTGGTGCTGATTTCCGTCTGATTTTCATTATCTATGATGTATTGTTCCTGAAGCCAGACCTAATTCGATGAGACTATGCAAGAGGTTTAGAGGTAGAAGATAAAGAACTTGCTTTTTCACACTCTAGTATGCAATTGTCGAACTTTCAAACAAGTACATATTATTCGCAATCCTCGCCCAGGTCCCACAGCAGGAAGACCCCGCTCACGCGGTGTGCATCTAGCGTTTGACAGATCACATGGTTGCCATGATAAGAGGCGCAATGTGGCACCCTAGAGCCAGGTTCGTTCATTAATCGTTCTAATTAATTTTCAGATTGAGCGGTATGTATATCTTGAGTATCAATTGAGAGACACTCTGTTTCTTTTGACATCGGATCGATACTTCTCATTTGCGCAAACCAGTCACTCGAGTGTCATCTGGCAGAGCACACTTTGTAGAAACCCGAAGCTTCTCAGATAGAATTATAAAAAAAGATACGAAAAACACCACTAGGTTTTTGTAAGTCCATGAAGCTGGTCAAAGAATGCATAGTAATTGAATTCTTGTCTTAGCCTCTACAAAATAAATGCGCCAAAGGTTCAAGCTTGACCTTTTTGTTTCACGTAGTAAGCATATCAACAACTCTTTTCACACTCAATTTCTTGATATCAGTGTACGTTTGCCCAGTTCCTATGAACAAGATTGGCACTCGTGTAGCCATCACCATGTTGATCATTGCACCGACCATGTCACCCACAGTGTCGACTTTAGAGATGATGAAAAAGTCGAGGCCACGTCTATTTCCGAAAGCATTGTTGAAATTCGTGGCCTGTTCGACGGAATCAGTCCCAACAAGCGCCTCGCCCACCATAATGATCTTGTCGGGGTCTGCCGCATCGCCAAATTTTTTCAATGGCGCCATCAATTTGGCATTTGAATGCGTTCTGCCGGCAGTATCGATCAACACAATGTCAAAATTAGAGGCACCCGCGTACGCGATGGCCAGCTTGGCGGTATTCACAACATGGTCACCACCTCCATAGCCTTTTTCAAAAAGCTCGATCCGCGAATCGCTGGCTGAACTAGAATTAAGACGTTGCAAATTGTTCACATGTACTTTTAGCTGTTCTACGGCACCAGACCGGAATGTGTCACACGCACAAATGAGAACGTTCATGTTGTTTTGGAGGAACCAATAGGCAAGCTTGGCCAAATTTGTTGACTTGCCAACACCATTGACGCCCACCACAGAAATCACATATGGTCTGTCGCGCTTATTCTTTTTGATGTCGTATAATAAATCAGTCGAAACATTGGGGGTCAAGATTTTCGTGAGCTCATCGGTCAAGGCCTGCTCGAACACCGGTACAGTGACACTTTTTGACGCGAGTTTGTTTTGAATTCGCTCAACTATAGCTTTGGCTGTGGCAGGAGCGATATTTTTCGCAATCAATTGTTCGGTGAATTTCTTCGACAACTCCTCGATATCGACTGAAGAGCCAAAGTAGGAGGTGATTTTGGACAAAAAGCCTGTCTTGGCAGGCAATTTTACCTCGCTTTCCGCATCACCCTCATCTCCCTCATTTCTCTCCAAAACGTCATGGAGTTCATTTATCAAGACCAAATCATTTTCTCTGGTGAATGCTGACTCGTGATCAACGGTAAATTCATTGTAAGGGCCAGAGCACATGGCATCACCCTCCTGAGACAATGAGTAGTCCAAAGCGGCATCATCTGCGGTTACATCAACCAATTCGCCGTTTACCCATCTCCTCATCTTTTTACCATTTGTAGGTGCTTTCTTCTTGGGAATATTCGAGGCCGCATCGCTCTCATTAATGGCCTTTGTTGTATGCTTGATAGGTTCCTTCTCAGACGATGTGTCGTCTGATTTGAGTTTCACAAGATTGTTGAATTGAAAGTCGATCAATTTGGCCATCTTTCCGGGGTCTTCTTCGTGCAACTGAGTATAGGTCCTGAGGACATCCAGTAGGGCCTTTCTGATCTTGTCGCTGTCGAACGTGAATACCGAATCAAAATAAATCGCGGCCCATATATCTTTTATCTTCAACGAATAGAATCTCCTGTGGCTTGAAGAGCTTTGCACTGTGTAGAAGTTTCGCTCAAGCTCGGTATGAGACTCCTCCACTATACTATAGATCAAGTCATTGAACGGTGTAACCTTGTTATTTTGCTGGTACAAAATTCTGCCAGAGGCTTCGAAAATTATCAATGATTGCGACATTTGAGCTAATATGTATGACTTTTACACTCTCGAGCGTTTTTGTGCGGTTTTTTCTTTCCAAATGTCTCAGTTTCGTTGTTTTGAGGCCACGGTTCGTCGTTTCAGTCCTATGGAAGATCGCACCATCGTATTTTTTTACCTCTACAGCCGATATCGCAAGTACACGGTGCTATAATCCGCGCTCAGCGACGGCAGTTATATTTTATCACTTGAGGGACCAAGGTAGCTGCTCGCTGATAAGCATGTCATATGTACAACAAGTTTGGTATCGGATGGCCTCACAAGGCCACCTTTTCTTAAGAAAAATTAATTATCAGAAAAAAAAACAAAGACAGTTCAAAGAGATGAATGTCACGAAAAAACGTCACAGACAGGATTCGAACCTGCGCAGGCAATGCCCAACACCTGAGCTGCGGATAGCAGGGTGTCGCCTTAACCACTCGGCCACTGTAACATTACTGCAGAAATCACATGGACGTTGTATTCGTTCAAACGTTTGAATGTGAACATTTATCCAAGCGTATTTGGCGAATTTTTCCGCCCAAGTAGCTTCTACATGTTGTAGCTGATTGAAAATTTACGTTGCAGCAGTTTTTTGGCGCTACCTACAGGGATAAACAAGAAGTTGTCGAAGAGTCCGTCGCGTCACGTGCGCTACTCGACCTGCGCGTGTACTTCAGAGCCAGTGTCGAAATACATACGATCCAACGGCAGCAACCACTATGGCATATTACCAGCAGGACCCTAATTTACAATTCTATCAGTCGAGTTATGGCAACACTTTTCAGCAGCCAGCCATGGATTCGGCAAACATGGGCACAATGAACTCTGGATACGCCGCAAACTTCGATGTGTCGGGAGATATGGGTGGTATGGAATTGACTCCGGGGCTCTTTGCGGCCTTCGGCACATCGGGATACTCCGGCGAGCCTCCGCTTTTGGAAGAACTTGGCATCAATTTCCAGCATATGAAGGATAAAACCTTGGCTGTCTTGAACCCATTCAAAAAAGATATTAGCCCAGACATCATGGCTGACTCAGACTTGGCCGGACCAATACTCTTTGTACTCCTCTTTGGTACGTTGCTACTATTGTCAGGAAAAGTCCAATTTGGTTACGTCTATGGTGTTGGATTGTTTGGCATTCTTAGTTTGCATTACCTTTTCAAGCTCATGAGCAACGATGTGCAGATCGACTTGACGCGCTCAGCGTCTATCTTAGGATACTGCTTATTGCCCTTGGTCTTTATCTGCGCATTGGGTTTAATTGTATCTCTAGACACGATGTTTGGGTATATCTTGAGTGGCTTGGCAGTCTTTTGGTGTACTTATTCTGCGTCAGGGTTGTTTGTGACAGTCTTGAAACTTCACAATGTCCGCCCTTTGATTGCGTATCCGTTGTGTCTTTTCTACATTGTTTTTGCTATGATGGCCATCTTCGTCGAAAATAAGTCTATCATTTGAGGCATTCTGGCAAGAGGGGAAGTGAGTGGGTAGGCTAGCCACGAGGGGTATACACCCTTAGGAAGTAGCAATGGGGTCAGAGGATCTGGCGGGATGGTAAACCTGATGTGGGATTCTAAGCTATAGATTACACGCTTGCCTTACAATAAAAGGTTGCTGTTAATATACCCTCCTCGTCTTTGACGAAAAAAGACTCTTAGGTCCATTTGGCAATGTAACAATGACTGTACTTTCCAGGAAAATTTTGCAAGTGACAGATTTCCTCCATAACGATTTTAGTCGCAAGCGCATATGAGAATAATTTAAGAAATATGAAAATAATATCATCCTCTGTATTTTGCAACGGCATACAGAAATCAACTTCTTTTTCGAGATTCATCTGCGTGTGAAGAAAACGCGGCCCGGGACCCTGCGCCAGCTCACTTCTCTACAATCCTGTATCATGAAGGTAAACATTGCAGATTCATCGAGTTGACAATAGCATGCCACCGAGGTTGAATAAGAACTGCTGCTGGCGCATTGCCAGACAATTTAAATCTGTTGCAAGAAAACCATTCTATGTCACCACGCCAATATTTTATGTGAACGCGAGCCCTCACTTGGGGCACATCTACTCAATGCTCTTGGCGGACACCAGGGTCAGGTGGGAACGCTTAGACCCGGCCAATGAAACGTACTTCCTTACTGGAACGGACGAGCATGGACTCAAAATACAAGCTGCCGCTGAGAAAGAAAATGTCGATCCTAAAATATTTGTTGATCGAGTATCCCAAAACTTTAAAACTCTCGCTCTGACATTTGACGTTGATGCGAATAGATTTATTCGGACAACCGATCTGGACCACATCATTGCAGTCCAGCATTTCTGGAATGATATGCTATCAAAGGGTCTTATATACAAAGGGTCGCATAGTGGATGGTATAGTGTGAGTGATGAGGCATTTTACCCTGAAACGCACACCACTGAAATCTCCGACGCTAAAACGGGGCTAACGAAAAGAATAAGCATCGAAACTAGGAATGAAGTGGTATTTCACAAAGAAGAAAACTATTTCTTTCGCCTTAGTCAATTTGGAGACAAACTTCGTGAGCATTTGGATCTGAATCCCACATTTGTTTTTCCGGAGCTGAAACACCGTGAGTTAGTTAATTCATTGAAAGCCGAAGATCTTGAGGACTTATCTGTATCTAGGCCTTCATCAAGGCTAAAGTGGGGTATTTCGGTTCCAGGAGACGACTCTCAAAAAATTTACGTGTGGTTTGATGCGCTTGTGAATTATCTCACCGCGGCTGGGTATCCAAAACTTGATGCATCCTCGTATATGAGCATATGGCCTGCCAATACTCACATAGTGGGTAAAGACATCACAAGATTTCACTGCGTGTACTGGCCTATCTTTTTGATGGCAGCGGGCGTGAGGCTCCCTAAACAAGTTCTTGTTCATTCCCATTGGTTGAGTGAAGGCGTGAAAATGAGCAAGAGCTTAGGCAATGTCGTAGATCCTTTCGAACTTTCAGAGCGCTACAGTACGGACCCAACTCGATTCTATCTTATGGAAAATGCGAGTGTCTCAAATGATTGTAAATTTTCCGAAAGAGAAATCCAGAACACCCACTCCCTGCTCGTCAATAAGTGGGCCAACATCTGCTCCCGAATTGGCGGTGCAAAGTTCAATCTACTTGAGGCCGTGGCACGTCAAAGAAATGGGCGCTATGACAATATAAACAATGTTGTTAGCCTACTCAAGAATGAAGACGCACAGTACACTTTGGAATTGCGGGACAAACTTGTTCAGAGCATTGATTCTTTGTATAAGGATATGGATAAGGAGATGCACACCTACGGACAAATTCGAGCGCTTCATAGGTGGTGGGAAACAGTGGAGCTCGGAAATGAGTTTTTCCAGCATTGTGAGCCCTGGCGCTACCAAAGCGCCTCGAAGCCTGGGGAGAAAAATTACGAGATTCACCAAACGTTTGCAAACTACGCCGTATACTTGTGCGCGGAAGCCGGGCGCGTCACTTCCATCTGCGCATTGCCATTCATGCCCAACTTAGCTTCGAGATTTCTTGGACACTGGAACGTCTCGCAAGAAAGGAGAACGAATAAAAATGCCCAGTTTGGGTTAGATTTGGACTATGGTGCTATTGATGAGAGCACCAAAAACTTTAAGGTCATGAACAAGTTGAAAACGCAGTGAAACCTTTCCAAGAATGACAGATAATTCTATGTACATAGGCATTTGAGGTCGGCAAAAGCCACTTTCGTATATGCGCCAATGCCACGTCAAAATTTGATTGGCCTTAGCAGCCTTGTAATTGCAGTCTCGTGTTTAACAGTCGCTTGCATGTCGCGAGTGAAGACGCGCCGGAAAAAAAACACGCACGTGACCTTAGTCACGTGTATTTTTGAAGTGCTGGTTCGCTCGAAACCAGAGCCAAAGTCGACAGTTCGATAAAGAGCAAAGTTTCCATCATTAATTTCCCGGTACATATATTTTACAATAGCGCCAAGTACAAAGCTATGGCAAAGGGACCTCGGCGCAACATCAATGACGATGACGAGAACGGTCTTGACCTGTCTGTGCTAGACACTCCGCCGCAACCTAGAAGAACCCGAAGAACTGTTTCGTACATGGAAGACTCACACGATGAAGAGCAGACGGGGTTGGAAGAAGGCGAATTGCCCAAAGATGCTGCCGACGCTGATCCATCAGCCGTCGAAGCCGACAATTTGTCTGACGGAGTGCCGTCGGAGCCCGATAATGTTCATGAGGACGAGAATTACGATGAAAACTCTGAAAATGACGACGTGATGCCAGCACGGAAACGTGCTCGTAAGGCCGCGCGTCGCGCAGAAAGGCCTGACGGTGAGGACTCCGACTTCCAGGCCGACGATGTCTCCGATGATGATCCGATCAGCGACGAGAACTCAGGAGGCGAATCCGACTCTCACGCGAGAATCAGCAAACTACGAGAAAAACGGTTCGTCGCCACAGATGACGAGGATGACTCTATCCACAGTAATACGAGGATTCGCAGGCTGAAACTGCGCTCGCGCAGGGACCGTCTGCGTCGTGGAGAAGAGGACAGCCGGCCGAAGAGACGCCTGGTGGGTGATGAAGACATGGCAGACGACATTGTCGATGACGATAGTATCCAGCAAGAAATTAAAGACCTATACGACTCGTCGCCCGAAGGCTCGCCCATCAAGCACAAGCTTCGTGAGCGCGAACGGAAGATCGATTACACAATACCGTCTCTCCTTACGAATGAAAACGAGAACGAGTTATACGCCGCCGCACGCTCCACTGGGCTGTTTCGTTCTCGCGCCCGCAAGCCGGCTGCCAACAAGTCCGAGTTCCGTAATCTATTATTTCCCACCGCAGGGCCTTTTGGTGGCAGTGATGTGGTCTCGCTCATGGGTCAAAATATCCCTCCCGGAGGCATTCCTATACCCGGCATGACGTCTGGCACCAACCTCTCGATGGCCTTGGGCAACGATTCAGATTCATCTGATGACGATTTCGTACGCACACCAGCTAACCCAGGAGGTGCGGGCGCGCTTCATCAGCTACCTGGGCTCACAAACACCCATTCAAAGGCAGACTTTGGTGGTGGTAATTTTGTGAACAACACAAACATCCGTGGGGCTCAAGTAAGCGAAAAGAAAAAATCCAGCCTTAGCGACACGGACCCGTTGGGAGTTGACATGAACATAGACTTTTCTGCTGTGGGGGGCTTAGACAATTATATCGATCAGCTCAAGGAGATGGTGGCACTTCCGCTTTTGTATCCCGAGCTTTACCAGAATTTTGCCATCACTCCACCTCGTGGTGTGTTGTTCCATGGCCCTCCCGGGACTGGTAAGACACTCATGGCCAGAGCCCTTGCCGCTAGTTGCTCCACACCGTCAAGAAAGATCACGTTTTTCATGAGAAAGGGTGCCGACTGTTTAAGTAAGTGGGTAGGGGAGGCCGAGAGACAGTTG